GGGGGGGGGGGGGTGGGGGGGATTGTTGCTATAAGGGTCAGAAAAGTCATTGAATACAGCAAAAACATTGCTCCATCCATTATCTAATCCGCGTATCCTCACAAGGGTCGCGGCCGTGCTGGAGCCTATCCCAGCTGTCGTTGGGCAGTAGGGACACCTTGAATTGGTTGCCAGCCAATCGCAGGGCACACATTGACGAACAATCCATCGGCGCTCACACTCACACTTGGGGACAATTTAGAGTGCTCCATTAACCTGCCGTGCGTTTTTTGGGAATGTGGGAGGAAACCGGCGTACCCGGAGAAAACCCACACAGGCACGGGGAGATCATGTAAACGCCACACAGGAAGGCTGGAGATAGAATCGAACCCTGCACCTCTGCACTGTGAGGCAGGCTTGCTAACCAGTCGCCCATCGTGCCGCGCAACTTTCAAAATAAAAGCACCAAATAAGTAACATTTTACTTGAACTTAATGGTCACTGTGAGGGTCGGTCAGAAACTGTGGGCAGGCCCTGCGTGCGTATACCTCTCTGCTCATGGAAACCACTCGCTGTGTGTGTTGGGCTTCAGTGCAGAGCTGTGAATCCTCCATTCTTTGTCTGTACATCTCAAACTCTGCCAGAGCCTGCAAGAGCACAACCATCACGGACTGTTAATATTCTGTCACCCACCTTTGGCACAACACCCGAGTTAATGGCACGGCACATGAAGACAAACAATTATTCACACCCACGTTCACGACGACGGGTGGTTGAGAGCAATTCCTGTCCCGGGGAGCCTTGACTTTATGGGACCTGTTTAAGCAAATAAAGTGAGTCTACTTGATGGTTCTTGCTTTGTGTGTGTGTGTGTGTGTGTGTGTGTGTGTGTGTGTGTGTGTGTGTGTGTGTGTGTGTGTGTGTGTGTGTGTGTGTGTGTGTGTGTGTGTGTGTGTTTTTAGGGCAGTGGATAAGGATCAAATATTTTCTTGACTTCACAATTGCATGATAAAATATTTGCTTGCCACTATACTTTGAAACTTTGGAATTTCAAATTTGATTTGTGGTTAAAATGAAAATAATCAAATGCAGGGGCAAGTGTGTAGATTTAATATTAGGATGAGGTAATTATACATAAGTGCTGCCCCACTACATCACCAGGCAGCATTGAAGTCAACTAGAAGAACCATACACACACACACACACACACACACACACAAAAAAAAAAAAAAAAATGGTGTGCTGAATTTACTAAACATGATTTTGTCAAGTGGCTGTGTGAAATGAAGTCATCTGGAACCAGATAATTTTTTTTTCAGTAGACTATTTAAAAAAATGTATCTGGATCCAGATTATGTTATTGTGTGCAAACACCTGACAAAATAAAAGTGAGTACCGGTAAATTCAACACACCCATTTTTTTTTTCAGTGTACCTAAGGTTTGTACTAAGAGCAAAACGAAGAAGCAGAGAAGGTCGAAATCACGGGTGTCAAGCTAATTTTTTATCACATGATAGCTACCGTTTCCCTTGGGGGGCCGTTCTGACTGTGAAACCATAAAGAAGAATCCAAAAATAGTGGTCGATTCAACTATTATTTAAGTGACTGTAATGAGGGGTTTGGTAACAAGAAAATGCTGACAATATCTCTCTTATTTATTAGATATGAAAATTTGATATTTTGGTATAGATTTTAGCAGGTATCATTTAATTTGACATGTTTTATTTGCTTATGTGCATCGCATAAAATGATGTGGCGGGCCAGATCTGGCCCCCGTGCCTTGAGTTTGACACATGTGGTCTAAATAATCTCCAGTAATTATTGTTCCAACAGACAAAAGAGAACTGATACTGTGAGTATTGTCATATGCTCTGGTTGTATGTGTTGCTGCTCCATGTGTTAAAGTAGAATTTTGGAAGCATGGGGCGCTTATAATTACTGTAACATTGATTCTAATTTCCGTTAGCCCATCTATGGCCTTTATCAGGGTCAGGTTTTTTTTTTTTTGTTTGTTTTTTAACATAAACTTGAAATGTGGATGACACTAAGCTTGTCAGAATTGTGCAGGTGAGAGTGGGAACTGGCGCTAAAGAATCATTTTTAAAGTGTTTGAATAATTTCATATGTTTGAATGTGTGTAAACTGTGTGGGAGAGGTTTAAGAACATCATTTGTCTCGGTTGATCGTAGATTTTCATCTATTACCAATGGGTTAGCATATAAATTGGACAGCCCTGATGGGAAGTGATGTGTTCAGTACCATCACTGTGCTGCCAAAATTAAGTCAACACAACTAAATCTAAATCTAAAGTCTCTCTCTTATGATGACTAAATGAAGTCTAGTGACCTGTCTTTTCATGTGTTCATGTAATTCGACAGATTCCTCCAGACTGGCCAGCCGCCGGCGCAGATCGGCCTCATCCACCATCTTGCTCTTGTACTGCATAATCTTGTCTCGGGTTTCTGTCACGATATGCTGCACCTGAGCAGAGACCAATAAAAAAACAATAAATCCCCTAGGGTTGAAGAAGCATTGGATATTATTTATAGATTCAGTCACCAATAGCTTTATTGTCTAAATGACATTTTATCACAGCAATAATTTCAACATCCTGTTGCTGGCATTATTCAAAGTCCTTGGGGATCTCTTTGTGGGAACAAAAAAAAAATGTATCCTAAAACAGTCGGTACCTCATCCTCGTGGGCTTCCTTCAATGAATCAATCTCTTCTTCGTGCTCGTCGTTCTTGGTGTTGAGAGCATAGATAACCTGGAAAACAAGATGACAGAATGAGGATTGGTTGTGCAGCTTTCATGCAGACTCAATGTGAGATCAATAGTTGTGCGATGACAAGCGACATTGCACTTTGCACGATGAACAGCAGAGAACGCAAACAGACTGAAGGCATTCTCCTCCTGTTTTTCTGCCTGTCTCCATCGAAGACAAGGGAAAAAGTGCACACATTTACTAAGTGAATGAATATGAGATAGAGTGTGTACAATAACACCTCCTCAGTCATGCTCCCTCACTCCCACAAGCGTAAGCTGCATTTATAAGCGCTGCAGGTGAAGGGTACGCTCCTGCGAACGAAGGCGCTTTAAGTAATGAAAAATAAAGCTTCAGCCAATTGAGGCCCCCACCACTCCTCCACAAGCAAAAGTTTCACCAGTCAGCTGAATCCTAAACCCGCTGCGGCTGGCTCATCCACATTTTGTGAAGAGGAGTTAGAAAATGCTAAGTCTGCGCCAGCCACTTCATTCACCTCTACCCTCAAGCCTACTTCATGGGATGTTCGAGACCACTTTGTCTCCAAACCGATACTAGTAAGAGTATTACAGCACTTGAGTACTCATCGATACTGATACCAGGTAACCAATACCACTGGTGCTTTTGATACATAAAATTTCAGGTCAACCAATAACAGATAATATGAAGGAAAGACCTTTCGTTTATGTCAGACAAAAGGAAAAACAGTCACTCAGCAATACAGAATTTCAGTTCAAAATTAAACACACACAACTCACTCTGATTTAACAAGAGTGCAAAATAAAACTGACAAGTCCCTGAGTTTTAGTCTTTGTTCATAAATGAACTGAAGTGCAAAACAATGCCGGTTCTACTGTTAACTATTAAACATGACACCATGACGTTGGAAAATAGGGCTGGGCGATACAGCTGAAATATTTTGCACAAACCCAGTATTTCCTATGAGCCGACACTGATGAATATTGATTTTTTTTTTACCCATCAGTATTAAAAAAATAATAATAATGATTTAAAATGAAAATATCATAAAATACAACCATCCAGAGGAAAAATACTCTCCATATTAAAAAATATAGGTACATGAACAGAATGCAACAATCGAGTGTGTGTGCATATATATATATATATATATATATATATATATATATATACATACACATATAGCTGTCAGGATGTTGTTTTGTCTCAGCTTGCCGTGTAGAGTATGCAGCCAGAGGGAAAAGGTCCATTTTAGCCCTGCGTTCTGTACAAGGCTTTGATGGAAGCCGCTTTTAATCATACATGATTATCATAATGATGCATGCTGCTTTCATCTCTTCTCTTTTTCTTGCGTTCCTCATCTCTCAGAAGCGAGACACATCGCACATTTGTATGCACTAAAAACATGATGCTGATGTTGCTTTTTATCAGTATGCTTCTTGTCACATCTTCTCATGATGACGAAGACATGTTACTGCTGCAACACTTCTCTGTTGTATCAGCTCAACCAGATTCCAAGCATTTATTATGTACTGATGTGTTTTGTTTTGTTTTGTTTTTTGGTCACAATTGTGATTTTGTTACCTCCGGAAAAGACAATCTCAGATTAAGACTGAGAAAGTACTCTACGGACAATAAGTGGGCATCTGATGTCAGTTCAACATCAATATGACATCAAAATCCAATCTTTAACACCCAATTGATGTCACGTGCCCACTATAGTATTGGGGATATCATCTTTATTCAATCACCGAAAGACGCAGTGAGGTCTCATGATCTTTAGGTTTCAATCGGAATGAAACATTTTTGACAATCCTGCACAAAGGTCCATAAAGAAACACTTGGACTTTGTTCCGGCAGAACTCTGATCTTACCCTCATCAAACACCTGTGCAATGAACAAGAGAAAGGATGCCACAATCACTGACCTCTGACTTCACAAAAGTTCCTTTCACAACCAATGATAAGAATTCCCACTTAGCGACATTCCTTTTGGAGAAAGTCTTACTACAAGAATGTAAGTTTTTGTGGCTGCAAGGGAGGGACCTACTCCTTATTTACCATGATTCATTCATTTTACAAACCGCTTTATCCTCACTAGGGTTGCGGCGGGTGCTGGAGCCTATCCCAGCTGTCTTCAGGCAGTAGGCGGGGGACACCCTGAACCACTTGCCAGCCAATCGCAGGGCACACAGAAACGAACATCCATTTACGCTCACATGCACACCTAGGGACAATTTGGAGTGTTCAATCAGCCTGCCATGCATGTTTTTGGAATGTGGGAGGACCTACTCCTTATTTACCATGTCCAATAAAAATGACATCATGCTGAGCCAAGTGATGTAAGAGATTATTAAGTGAGCTGTAGAAAACGATCCAGTTTCACTTTTTGCATTTCATTCTGATGAACGTCAGTATTTATTGAGGTCTACGAAAGAAAAATTAGTTTTATTCACATAGCTATGCAAGCAATGTCATCATAAACGGAGCAATTAAATGCTCTTCCACTACATGGCTGAAGGTACAATTAACCTACTGGACCTATTGCTGTTCAGAAAGATACTAATAGCTTTGTGGTCAATTTAACAGGTCCACATTTCACACTGAGTGCATCTGTGAGTAAAGTGAGGGATATAATGGAGCGGTGTTCCTTCAAATTTTTCCAACCTCAAATTTGCCCTTTGGTGCAATAAATGTAGGAAAACACTCGCTTTGGGAAGCGAAATGGACTCCTGCCTATTTGTGACAGTGTATAACAAGATCAAGGAAAAGCCCTGCCTGGCTAATCTCTACACAATGACTCCATAGCGGGGAAAAAAAAACAACTCCCATTTGAGTCCAGTCGGGATGCAAAAACGGGTGTGGTTTTGCCACACATTAATAATCCTAGTTATTGTCTTTGTTTCTTGCTGGGTGAAAGTCATCTCATTTGTTGTCATTAATGCACGAAGGGATTTCGGTCTGAATACAACCAAAACAAACTCGGGATAAATGGATTTAGCTCAGCGATGCACTTGAGCAAGGCTGTCACATCCACCCCATTCACAACTGACCTGAATTTCTTTGGACCGTGGAGCAGGTGATTTGGCTTCACGGTGTGCAATAGCACAAAGCTCCCCCCCCCCTTTTTTTTGTCTGCACGTTACGTAAAAATGCATCCTCATGTGTGTGCTTGCTTGCACTGCAGACTTTTGACTGTGTATCCACTCGACTAAAACCAACTCACAGCTGCCACCTCAAATTTCCCACTACTACAGTGGCTTTGCATTCAGGTACAAAGACTGACAAAACCCTGCGTCCCCCAAGATTACGTAAGACACTCCAGCCCTCCCCCCACCACCGTTTTCTGGTGGTAAAGGCTCCGTTGTGATAACGCAGGTTAGGCAGTGGATTTGGCCACGCAGGAAACCCGGAGAGTTTGCATAGACGCATCACTTGCAGGAGGAATTTCAATAACACATGCAAATGCAACCATCTTTATGGCCTGCATTTTATTTTTAAAGAGTGATAGCTGCGTCTTACTGATCTAACTTGAGCATGACAGCTGCCACACTGCGCCACAGACACCCAGTGAGATGCCATCACTTGTTTACAAGCAAGGTCCCACGTCAAAAAGAGCCGCCCTCCACTCCACTACTCCACTCAAACCCGCGCTGAATGCACATCGCTCACCTTGGTCAACTGCGCAATCTTTTTACTCATCTTCAAATGGAGGTCTTGCGTGTATTCCAGCGTCAAACTCGCGTCGTAGAACATGCTCGATGTTGACGACGGGACGTATTTGGCTCCGCCGCCGCTGCTGCTGGAGCCGCTCGTCGAGGTTCCGTAAGCGGGCTGCCAGCCTGCTCCAGTCGCCATTTTTCACCACGGCACAAATACAAGACGTTCGATCCAAAAGCGGATGGGGGGTGGGGGGTTACGCGCGCAATCCTGCCATCGCAAGCGGGGATACACCGATCTGGGGGCGTCCCATTGTACTTCGCGCCAGCTGCTGGAGACAGGAAGAGTCGGAGTTGCACGCCAGATGCTGTTCATCTGAAGGTGCGCATGCACGATTCTTTTTATCCCCCCGCCCACGTTTTTTATGCGACTCTCGGGGCCAACTGTTCATTTAAGGCAGACGACGGCCGACATGTTGACGCAGCACAGCCCGTTCGCCGGCGTCCCGCATCCAGCCCGGAGACGCAGGTCCATCTCTAGTGATGTCTTCAGTGGCTGTAGGAAAGTTTAAATTCGAGAAGAAAATTACGTCAACTTTTACCTTTTAAACCACATAAAATAATACAAAACTGGGTACCCGTCATACGTTTGAATACATTAATTATAAAACCAAAATGCTTTCTACTTTAAATATGGTCAATGTTTCGGTTGTTTGCTAACGTCATACACTTGATGGCGTTCGAGCCGTTTTTTACAATTGTCCTACACTGACATCTAGCGGTTAAAAGTTTAAAATGCAACAAGCATTTTAAAGCAACGGTCCCCCGCCACAGCGAGCAAAGGGGTCCAAACAGTGTCGCAAGCAGTACCATTGTTTTGTCCTTGATACTCTTTATGATTAAGTGCACTTTCCAATTCTACTTGTAATATTTCTTCCATGAAATTGGATAATTTAAATCGCAAAAGTGTGTTATCTTCATTTCGTTTCTCAAGTTTCTCTTGGCTGTCCTGTTCCCAGTTTGTGTCTATGGATGCTATATTTTTTTTTTGTCCAGTTAGATTGTGGCCGTGACGTGCTTCAAAATCAGAATTTACTGCCAATCTATTAGGAATGTTTCTTACAACTATCAGATTTCAAATTCTTTTTCAATTATGTCCAAATTTTCCCATATACTGACTGGTTAGTCAGAGCAAAACTGCTTTCGGCCATGTTGGACTAACGTCTGCAGAAATCTCTTCACAGTAGTAGAGTAGGAGATTTGGTAATCAGCATTTCTGAGAGTGTTATGTAATTTAGGTTTTGGTCATGTTGTTCAATAAATACTGGTTCTGGATTGCTCCAGATTATCTATGTGGTACAAATGAATGCTGTAACTTTGCATTTTTATCTAGTACTGTATTGATGTTTCTATATTGGCAAACAAGTAAATCCCGATTGAAGGCGTTACGTAAAAGTAAACCCACAATCTAGAAAAAAAGTATTTAACACTTTAAAAAAGTCTCAGTTTTGGAGGATGTGTTCGGGCGACAAGCAGACTAGGAGAAGGGGCTACCCTCTTTCCCCACTCCCAAGGATAACCAAGGCTACAACTCGAGTCCATACAAAAGAAAATTTATGTAACGCTGAAATGTCGGGAACAATCAGCTCAGGGTGCACACTGTCAAAACAACCAAATAACAGTCTAATTTCTCAAACTAAACGTCGCAAATCGATAACGAAAATCTAACAGAGGCCTCAGCTGACTCCATAAATAAACAGGAGAAAAACAGTGAAAACTAAATGGCTACCCACCCCGAAAGCGACCTCAAACAGGACACACGGTGCACTTGGGTGTCGGGCGAAAAGAAGAGAAAGCCTAACTCCAGCAGCAGCCATTTTTAAAAGTTTCTATGCTGGTTTCGGTTTCTCAAAATACTGTATTGCTTTTCTCGAAACTGGTCCGTGGCGCACAAAAAGGCTGGCTCCGCTGTTTAAAGGGGTTCTTGACAGCACACAAGCTAATAAAATTGATGGAAATACATCGTCTACTTAAGTAGACGTAATTTGACCGAATTTCAACTAAATTGTAAATTGTCTACTCGAGCTAAATATGTACACTTAAGATTGATTTAAGGGGGAGGATGACGTCTTACATATGATTAAAAATGGACTTTCAAGGGCGGAGTCGTCGACAAAAACTAGACGGTTTGAGGATAGGTCAGCCAACTGCGTTGCTGGCTTGCTTGTTTCAAGTCGGTAAATGATTTATTTGGCTCGTTCAGAGCAGCGACAGCGAGCTAGCTCTGACTGTCCAACACAACTATGATGAGAACCCGCTGGCAGCAGGTCTGGTTGTGAAACATTGTGTTTATTGATAGTCGACCAGCAGATGGCCTCATTTTCTCATAAAAAGTGTCCCTATACCCTTGGCAGATGATGGAGTTTTGAACACTAGTCGAGTACAGACACGGGCATCTTAAATGCTGAAGTGGGGCTCAGTTATTCATCAGTACTACTGGGGGCTAGAGAGAGCCACACACTTAACTAGATGAATGACAAAATGCTGCTTTAAATATGGACAAAATACGTAAATACGTGCAAAATTCATGCTCAGAATAAACATGATTTTTGATCATACATTTTTCAATGCATGTATAAAAGGCACACTATAGTCCCCCAACAACAAAAGGTTTGAAGCAAACAACAAAATAACCAATGTAAAGGTCTTACTTGCAAAATAATTGTCATTTAATGACAGCTCAAAACTGTTCAACAATAAACATGAAGTGCAAGAACTCATGTTGTATTTTTCCCCACAAAAAAAAAAAATAACCAACTCACAATTCTTGTAATAGTGTTGAGGTACTGTGTCCTCCAATAACTGTGTGATAAATCATCGGGTGTGCGATGGAGAATTATCCAGCCTGCAAAATATTACGACAAATAATCTATCCACGTTCACCGATGCTAGCGAAGTATAGTACTGGGCAAAATTATTAAATGCTCTTAAATTATTATACATTGAGATAAGATCATTATTACTCGAGCAGCTATTTTATTGTTTCGTGGTGTGCCATGAGATTTCAGTCATGTAAAACAAATGTGTTTGCTTATCAGCCGTTGATAAAATACTACCACTAGTTTGTTCTCAAAGGTAAAAAATGTCAAACTCCTCTCCTTATCACATGCTATGGACCCTTTCTTTTCTCCACTCCATCATCTGCATTTCTCCCATTAGGCTTCACCTGGCCGGGGTGCTAGAGAAGAGTGCACCTCATGTGGTAATCAGAAACTGAGATATTCGTGTTGGAGTGAGTGAAGAGACCCCCGCTCAAACCCGTGCAGCGCACACGTAAGCATACCTGCAACTTCCCCATTTGGATTCAGACTAGAGATAACTGTTACAGTGCGTGCGGTGAGGTCCTCGAAACAGCACATCTACTCCACCGTGCCATTGTTGAACACGACTGTAGTGCAAACATCCAGTTGCACTGCAGGAAACGTTTACTGAACTGATCGGCTAATTCAAAGCCATTGTGCCCTTTTCCGTTTGAGCGGCCATCAATCAAAGCGTGAAAGGATGCGAATGGCAGCAATTCAATGATAGTGAAAGGGTGATTTAGGAGGGGAATAACCATTGATTCGATGAGGTGAGGAGAAAAGGAGAGAAGGGGAGAAGGAGAAAAGGAGAGGAGGGCATCAGAGGAGGAGGAGAGGGATTGCAGCAGCACACCCGTGCGTAAATGTGACCATCCTCGCTGTGGACTCTCCACCCTCCCTCCTCTCCATTCCGCACGGGCGCCTCGCTGCTGCCTTTTCCAGCCGGGATCACCTCCTCGGTGGTCGCTGGACAAATTTAGACCGTGGAGTCCCGGGTGTCGCGGCTCGGCGCCCTCCTCCAGGGTTTAGGAGGAGCGCCGGGAACCACGTCCAGGTTTCTCCCGGGCTTCGTGAGCACCACCGGCGAGAGTCATGGCTCGGAACGCCGGGAGAGACGCGGTTCGACCCGTTCGCGGATGCCCGTGATGCGGGGTCTGATCGCGCCGCAGAACACTTTCTTGGATACCATCGCCACTCGGTTCGACGGGACCCGTGAGTTCCAAGTCTTAGCTGTGAATGACTGTTTATCGCGCCGCGTTTCACACTATTCATCCTCATCACATTGATTACATCGGCCAGAGACTATTGGCTCCGAATGTGTTGCTAATTTGGTTGATGCATCAATTGATGAATGATCCCACACATAAATGAAACGGAAATGCGCACACACGCAGAGAAACATTCATGAATTAAAAAGCAGAACTTGGGCAGTGATAAAGTAAAACCCAAATGGCACTCTGTAACAGCAAACACATGTACACTCAAACAAAAATGAAAACATTACAGTGCTGTAATGCTGTCGACTGCAGTTGAGTTGCAATCGGGTGATTGAAGGTTCATTGCTACAAGGTATTAACCATATGCATGCTGGGACTGTGCCAAATGTATATGCAACAACTTGGGTCGATCAAAAAGGAAGAGTTTCATCTATTTTTGTGGGGTTTGCCCACTTGAGCTTTTTCATGGTTTCACTCACACGACCAAATGTAAATTCCCAAATGTAAATTCCTTCCAGAAATAGAATACATTTGACAAATGACAACACTGGAAAAAAAGTAATCTTCAGCATTTGTCATGGTTCCGTCGTGTTAAGTTATCATGTCAACAATGAAAACATTATTTTGGAGTGTTCAACAGAAAAATGTAATTTAAAATTATTTTTCCTTTGTTCAAAATACTACAAATCGGGGATATACTTTTTAACAAGCAGTATATAAGTAATTTCAGGGAGAGGTACAGCCACACTACAAATAGGAGATTTGTTGTACTGTACTGTATTCACTCATCCATGATGTGGGAGGGGCCACAACCCTCGCAATCGTTGAATGATGGGATTTTTTCTGTCTTGCAACGTCTTTATATGGACCATCTTATACTTTTGATTTTTTTCAGTGTGCAAGGTTAGTGACTACTTGAGGTCTAACAATTAATCCAGGGGAGTTCTATCCATAAAACCGCGAGTTAGCATGTCCGCCTCACAGTGCAGTGGTGCAGGGTTCGATTCCGGCTTGGGCCTTTCTGTGTGGAGTTTGCATGTTCTCCCCGTGCCTGCGTGGGTTTTCTCCAGGTACTCTGGTTTCCTCCCACATTCCAAAGACATGCATGGCAGATTAATGAAACACTCGAAATTGTCCTTAGGTGTGATTGTGAGTGTGAATGGTTGTTTGTCTATTTTGTGCCCTGCGATTGGCTGCCAACCAGTTCAGGGTGTACTCACACCTAGGCACAATTTCGAGTGTTTCATTAATCTGCCATGCATGTCTTTGGAATGTGGGAGGAAACCGGAGTACCTGGAGAAAAACCACGCAGGCCCAGGGAGAATATGCAAACTCCACACAGGGAGGCCAGAGCTGGAATCGAACCCGGTACCTCTGCACTGTGAGGTTGACGCGCGAACCACTGGGTCACCAGGCCGCCCTATATAAAATCCCATTTTGCCAAATGTAAATTGAAAGTAGATCCAACTTAAAATTAATTGTGGAGATATTTTTTAAAAAGTGTATTAAAAACTGTAAGATGTATGTAAATTCAAAGATGCAAAGATTGACCAGTAAAATAATAGACTCAAGTAGAATTTACTTGCAAATTAGTGTTTTACACAATTTGGTCAAAACAAAGAATGTTTTTTTGTGACTACTTGATAATTTGATGCAATTAGTTGCCTTACATTTTCTAAGTAGATTAAGCTCCAAACAAACTAATGTACACAACGTTGACATTGCACATCCTCTATAAGACTACCGGTAATCCTTTTATTCAAATGTAGTGTAAAACTCGCAATTTCTGTGCACAGATCACTAACAATCAACAAGAAAAGTGGAGTTTTTGTTGTTCACACAGTTACGTAACACCACCCTGAAGGTGCAAACTCACAGGAAAAACGTGCAAGACGGATAAACTGTAAATGAAAGGGTTCTTTACTGATGTTACAAAACATTGAACAGAAATAAGAAAGCAGCAGTGTGACAACTACTTTGACTAGTAAAAGCCGTATTCCATTTCACATGCTCCTTTAAGAGATCCACTGATGACACACAGTGCAGATTTCATGCATTGTCAAATTTGATGATAGTTGGTTCACATGATGAAGACGGAAAGGATCTGGTGGCGTGCAGTACTTCCAAATATCAGCTCAGAGAAGCAGTGCCATCACTTCCTGGCAATACGCTACATCAGTGAAACGATTAAGGAGACCCTTTGAAGGCCCTGGGAATGACCTTTGCCAAAAGTAATAGGCACTGTCACAAAAACAAGACCTGACGCAATGTGATGAGTTCAAAATATCCTGAGTGATGACAACAGGAGCAATTTAGAGGAAGAAAACGTCGTCGGGCATGACCCTCAAGGTGAGCTTTTCGTTCTTGATTGCTCGGCAGCTCCAAACCTTGGCAGGTTCCAAGTTAAAAGCAACAGTCGGGGAATTTTAATGAGATATGCTGACCTAGGAAGCATGTGACAAGCGTATGTTTACAGCCAAGAGGGCCATTTGTTTTTCATTTAGAGAAGCAAAAAGTGGACTTAGACAAGTTAAGTTACTACTGGCAGCACAGTGGTACAAGTGTGAAGCAGAAATGCTTTACAGTTTATCGGTTTGGATTGAGAATTAATTTAAACTTCCTGTGGTGCAAGACCTGCTCAAGAACCTCGTCATAATCAAGTTATGCTTGACCCTCTTCCAAAGTGCTTTCTATTAAAAAAAAAAAAAAATCAGCAAAAGAGATGCACACTCTGCTGAAATTTGGATGAATATAATGTCATGGAGGTTTTTCAGACAGGTTTAAAGATTCTGCATAGCACATTTAATGACATCCTCTTGGCTCATGATACTTGACTAGCCTCCTAAGACCCGAACTCTTGCAAGGCATGCATTTTTATTTTATGTTTATTTTCTCTTTGATATTTAGGCTAATTGGGACCTGATGAGTGTAAAAACAAAGAATTATCTTTTTACATGATGTAAGGTCCTCATAAGTGGACGCCAGGCCCTTGTAGTCCACAATTTAATATTGTAGTCTTGACAACCAAAACGTCATGTCCACACATGTGGACGCCAGGTCCCAGGAGGTTAAGGACTATGTGTGTCTTTTTTGTTGGACCTGACTCCAGCGTTTGATATCGTAAACCACAGTAATCTGTTGGCTCATTTTCAGCACCAGGTGGGCATTAGTGCTAGCACTCTAAGGCGGTTTAGATACAATTTAGCAGGCAGAATGTTTGTGTCGGTGGCACAGTGAACAACTGTTAGCACATCTGCCTCACAGTACAGAGGTCCAGGGTTCCGGGCTCTGGCCTTCCTGTGTGGAGTTTGCATGTTCTCCCCGTGCCGGTGTGAGTTTTCTCACATTCCAAAAACATGCATGGCAGGTTCATTGAACACTATATATTGCCCTGATTGCCTGGCAACCAGATCCACGTGTAACCTCGCATTCTGTCTAAAGACAACTGGGATAAGCTCCAGCATGCCCGCAACCCTCATAAACAGATCAGATAATGGATGGATGGGTGGACTTTTTGTGCTAGCCTCAGTTGCTCTCAGTCTCAATGTCGTATAGTGTTCTACAGGGTTCAATTTTGGGGGCCTTGCTCTTTTCAATGTATTTGCTGCCCATGGGCTCCACCTTAAGAAAGCATGGCGTTTCCTTTCACTGCTATGCAAAAAAGCCACTTTCATCTTTAAGGCCAATTTTGTCCTGTGTGGTGGAAATCTGGATGATGCTAAACTTCTTGTTTTAATTGCCTTTGGTTTTATATGACTGATTTTTACTTAATGTAGAGCACTTTGTATGTAGTTGTGGTTGTTTTACAGTGCTCTCTATCCATCCATCCATCCATCCATCCATCCATCCATCCATCCATCCATCTCTATCTAGCGAGGATGACCATTATATAAATTGAATGGTTGGATGATAAACACTCACTGGCGACCTTTTGTAGAAATATACAAGATCTCATACTGACTCCTTGTACACGTTAATGCACAATAGTTGTGCTTTAGCTGCAACACACACAATGGAAAAAAATGAAAGCACATGAAGTGAATGAGTAAAAGTGCCTGTGTGACAGATTCTTGTCAGTTGAGATATGAAGATAAGTGAAAATGCACTTGCAGCTGTAGTTGTGGAAACGGGTCCCCAAGATGGCCAATAGTCTTGCACTCTCATCTGTCGTCTTTCCGATATCATCTGTGCTTGTGTGTCAGCTGACATCTTTCAATTCTAATCACATCTCATTTCAGAAATCTCATTATATATACCGGTACATCATTTCCTACACTGTGCCTATTGCACAAGGCCTCGGGACCTCCAAATGAGTGACTGAAGGGCATGCGTTTCTGATGCCTTCTTCACGCATGTAAAATGGTGGCTGGATCGCTTGTATTCATTCACTACTTTATGGATGACCTTTCAAAATTAATTTTCATCCACTTTGTTTCAAATCAATGTTCAATGATCAATTAAAAAAAAAAAACACAAGTTACTTTTGGTCCATCCTGCAATTGATTTAACATGGTGGCATGATCGTTGATGTTTAGACTACCCAAGATCACAGTTCACGAGTAATCATGTGGGTGTGTAAAAAGTAAGATTGTGGTGCCAGAATGAGCAAAATACTATATCTCCCGGGACAGACACCAAGATCGACTTTGTTTTTCTTGTCTGAATGAAATCTGGCCAGCACATTTACATGAGCTTTATTGCTTCTTTACTGATGCATAAATGAGTTTTTCCACTTTCTATCCTCTCATTTAGTATCTCCAGTGCAGTTCACATCCTTCAAAGTGAACATTCTGCTCACTCCACATTCACTCATGAATAGACGTTAATGATCCCGCAGGACGGCATACTCACTCGCTCTGCTCCAAAATGAATTATGCACAGCTGTCCCCATAACGTGCTGCCATTCCAGCATGTTCACGTGTACGTTTTCCTCTCATTATTAGTTTGGATAATTACCAACGGCGCCGCAATACTGGATGAGCAGAGAATGTTTGGAGAGAACAATAGAGCAGCAAAGAAGTGAAGGGAGACAAGGGAAGTTCATTGAAAACCAGCAGGCACGTTAAATTGTCCCCAAAGAGAACTCTTCAAAGGAAGAAGAATCATGGCAAAGTTTGAACCAAGAGCCGAGACGAACATGCTGCCAAACAGGGAAGGCTGTACAGAAAATATGAATAGAATTTTCTTTAAATTACACTAACGGCACAGAGGCAATTATTTTACAGAATTTCTGTACTGTCAATGTGTTTAACTCTATGCTGACTACACAAAACCAACTCCAGGATCCAATCCTGGAGACCGACGATTATTGTTCTTGCGTAATAGGGATTTACAAATGCAATCACCGAGCTCATTATGTAATCCCATCTTTGTTTTTCTAATGGTTCTGATTTGCTCTACGCAGACAGCAACTTTGTGCTGGGGAATGCCCAGGTCCAAACGCTCTACCCCATCGTCTACTGCTCTGATGGCTTCTGTGAACTGACCGGCTTTGCTCGCGGCGAGCTCATGCAGAAGAGTTGCACATGTCACTTCCTGTACGGTGGCGAGACCAGCGACCACCTCACCTCACAGATGCAGAGGGCTCTGGATGAGCGGCGGGAGTTCAAGACTGAAATCATCCTATACAAGAAGAGTGGTAAGAGCAGGCGTAGAATCAAGTTGTAGTATCCTCCTGTAGATGTACAATGGATGTAAAAAGTATACACACCCTTATACAATTGCCAGGTTTTTGTCATTTGAAATACTGAGACCGAGATAAACCAGCAACAAAATCTACCAAAAACATCGGGAAAATTTGTTATAGTTGGATGAAATACAGACTAAACTTTTGAATTGAAAATTCTATACTGTATTTGGTGTAAACACAACACTATTCATCACAAAATGAAACACCATAATTATAAATTATGAACAGTTCCAAACAACAGTCGGTGTCAGCAAAAACCATCCAGTTTCCGCAATGAAAAATGTCTGGAAAAGCCCACTAGAACAACTGAACTGTATACTTGGGCTCATGTAACTCACTGATAGGAAAATTATCACACACACATATATATAACACACACACACACACACACACACGCATACAGTATATACATATATATACACCTGTATACACACACACACACACACACACACACACACACACACACACACACACACACACACACACACACACACGCACACACACGTGTCATATGAACAGGGGTGTGTAGACTTTTAAAATCCACTGTATTTCTCCAACTTATTTACTTATTTTAGGTTCCAAGTTCTGGTGTCTCCTGGACATTGTGCCCATTAAGAATGAGAAGAGTGAGGTGGTTCTGTTCCTCGTCTCACAGAAGGACATCACAGAGAACAAAGACCTGGACCAGGACAATGAGTCTGACACTAGTGAGCTCAAGATCCCCCTATAACAATCAAACAGATGCAAAGGTCCAAAAGGATACTCCACAGAGTCACATATTCACCAGAATCCATGAGTGCTTTCCACATTTCAGATGAGGGGACAGGCCTGAAGGTCCACCAGATCAGCCGCCCGGCAGGCTTTAGTATGGAGCGTCGCCGAAGTCGGGCCATCCTCTACCAGCTTTCCGGACACCTTCAGAAACAAGACAAGACCAAGAGCAAGCTGAATATCAACAATGTGAGAAATGGATACTTTTGGGACTTGCTCATGCTCCTAAAAATGAATAACTCAACTTGACTTTTACTTGTTAATCACAAGAGTCAACTTGACTGGTTACAGTTATAAACCTGCATCCTTTTGGTTTCTTTTTGAAAGAGGAATTTAATTTGCTTAGGGTGCGTAAACTTGGCAAATCACCAGTATACTATGATATACTGTAGAGAGACTAAAGAAGCCACCTCCTTTTTATTTTTAACCTTTATTTCCATAATACATTACATCATATCATATGGTGAGCAGAAAGGTTCATACCAAGCTTGAAAAAGCTGCAGAGATTATTCCTCTCTAACTTTTGAAACAATGATATTGCGATATAGTGTGGCAAAATAACTGCTGTGTCTTCATACGTTGCTCCTCCACTGACCAGCATGCATTTTTTTTACCTCCTTGTTTCATCACAAGAGTGTTCTGGGAGCCAATGCCAACCCGGTGCCAGAGTACAAAGTGGCAGACATCCAGAAGTCCCGCTTCATCCTCCTCCATTATGGCACATTTAAAGCCGGCTGGGATTGGCTGATTTTACTGGCGACCTTCTATGTCGCCGTCACGGTTCCGTACAATGTCTGCTTCACAGCAGTCGAGGTACGAGAGGACGGTGCGTCGACAGCAAGGAACCCACCAAGTGTCAGTGACATCTTGGTGGAAATTCTCTTTATGATTGGTGAGGATGCCGCTAACGTTGTGTCACTTTTGTGTCAACAAACACAAAAGTAGCACTTTGTCTTGATGTGTGTTCATGTGCGTTTTAGATATTGTGCTGAATTTCCGAACCACCTACGTGAGCACGTCCGGTCAGGTCGTGTATGACGCCCGCTCCATTTGCATCCATTACGTCACATCCTGGCTTTTTGTGGATCTGATCGCTGCTTTGCCATTCGACCTGCTCTATGCTTTCAATATCAGCGTGGTGAGCCCAACACAGTGTTTCCCAATTATTACCAAGCCAAAGCACATAGTTTACATTAGATCAGTCTCACTTCACCGAACTCAAATGTCACAAATAGATTATGATATCCACTGAAATGAATGGGTTTTTTTTTCTTAATTTACACATAAATTGACTTAGGGAGTGCCCTGCGATTGGCGAGCAACCAGTTCAGGGTCAGCTGGGATATGCTCTTGCATGCCCACAACCCTCGAGAGGATAAGCGGATTAGAAAATGGATGGTTGGTTGGATTTAGGGAGTGTGAAATTAGGACCTCTTTAGTTGAACACAGAGCTAGTCTTTTTCTGTTGTGAGATAGGTGGATACACCTGTTAATTTTAACTTCTGCCATCTAGTCGAAGAGCATTTGATTGTTGCTAGCACAGATAGATGAACAAAGATCCATTATTTGTCATATATAAATAATTTCCATTCAAGATACAGTGTGGAAAATTGTGTTGATTTTTAAATGTTCATTATTTCAAAATCCCACTATTAAGTTCCATATTTTGCAAAATTATATGTTCTATCACATCAATGTAATTTTTTCATCCCTATTTATATTTCATAGGGCATGCCTCCCCTACAAGAAGCTGGCACGTTTCGCCACCATTTTTCTTCTACGGATACCTGAAGGACACACATTTAGCACACGTAGTTCCTAAACATTATGACTACAGCATGTGTAACAACCGCCATGCACTTGAGGGAATACCAGAATTCATTTGGGATTACATTTATCTTACACTATGTTGAATAAATTGGTGGTAGGCTTGCGAAAAGTGGTCTCTCTGAGACATCGTGGTGCGCATGCTTCAAAATTATTTCGCTTCGAACTTAGGTAGTTGCATTCTCTTAGTTCACCATTAGATGGCAAAAAATTATACGCACCGTTCCTTTAAGTGAAGTTGGATATTTTTTTTCCATTTCTTCCATTTATGTTTCTGTGCATCACGCAGAACTTTGGGGTGCACCTGTTGAAGACGGTACGTCTCTTGCGCCTTTTGAGACTCCTGCAGAAGCTGGACCGCTACTCCCAGTACAGCGCCGTTGTCCTCACCTTGCTCATGTCCACCTTTGCCCTGTTGGCCCACTGGATGGCATGTGTCTGGTACTTCATCGGCCGCAGCGAGATTGAAAGTAATAGCCCTGCCTCTTGGGACATAGGTGTGTGACTTTCACAGTAGCAGGATTTCTCTCTGAGTACAACTGTTATGCGCAGTGTAAAGCATGCCAAAATTTCTATTAGTGTTCAATTCCATAGACAGTAATGACCCACTTTCTAATCAACACTGACTTTTTACAAGCAATCGTAGAGCAGAAGGCCACCCGCACAACAAATGAACAATCACGAGATGAGCAAAGTGATTATGTTTCCTCATTTGGGGGACTTTATGCTTATTGGCAGCATACCTAAAAATGGCCAAAAAAAAACAGTGCTAACATCCTAAGCAACCACAGTCCTCCAAAGATAGGCCAAAGAAATAATTTTATACACAGAGCATGCATTTGTGAAAGAACATATAATTATGGCAATCTGTCGCACCTCCTACTGTGTTAACCGCAAATAGCAACAATGCTGTGAGGCGCATGTTGCGCTAACTGTTATGCTTGCGGTCACATGATTCATAGCAGAAAATACAGACAAGGAGCGGTTCAATTGTTTTTTGTTTTTTTTTGTGTGTGTGTGTGCTGCTTAAATAACAGATGCTAGCTAGCTCTGTGGAACACCTTGAAAGCTGCACTAGCTGGTGATTTGGGAGCCATGGCTTTGAGCTTCCTCGGCTTACAATTTCTTAGCATATTAGCATATACCATTAGCTGACCTTCGTTATACTCACAAACTCAACCACTGTCAATTTGGTTCATGGTATAAGTGTAACCGTGGTTATCCTATGCGAACTAGTGCTTGGTTTGACCAAGCAACCACAAATCCATTTCAGGCATTTAAGGCATTTAAGGAATTGGGGAGTACTAGCTGGCATCCACTACGCTTACGAGACCCCAAATTCATAGAAATGACTCTTCCAGCCTTGTAATGACTGCTAATGAAACCGATTGCATTGGTATGATTACTGAAGAGTGAGCAGTCACAGTTTGGGCATGGAGGTGAAGAAGCCAAGAGCGGGATGAGGAAAGCTTCAACGCATTTAGTGACTAAATCCGTATAGAATAACTACACACCAAGAGACAATGGGCGAAGAAGCAAGGGAACAAACCTTGATGAATGACAAAACGTCACCGTGTGAGACAACATGCTGCACCAGACACAATAAAAAAAGAGTCAGGACAGTAAGCCCCCAGAAAACTGAACACAGTCAAAACAATAAATCAGCGCTCCCAACAGGACCGTAACAGTGTGTATACACAGTGTGCTGACAGAGAATCTATCGTCTGGTGTCAAACATTGACTTAGCAGGGAAATTGCTATTGAACTTTTCCCTCTTACCCCCACAACAGGCTGGCTTCATGAGCTTGCCAAACGTTTGGGCACACCATACTTCTTGGCTCCACTGACCTCCCTACTGGGGGTTTCGGATTCACCTCAGGCCACCGTCACACCAGACCTGATTAACTCCAGCCAATGGAACAGCTCTGGCCTGGAGTCACTGAACGGGGCGAGTTTGTTTGGTGGAGCCCAGTGGAACAGCAGCAGGCCCCGAACGAGGACGCCTGGCGGTACAGGCATGGCGCTGAGCGGTGGTCCATCCGTGCGGAGCTCTTATGTGACGTCGCTGTACTTTGCTCTGAGCAGTCTAACCAGCGTTGGCTTCGGCAACGTGTCGGCCAACACGGACTCTGAGAAGATCTTCTCTATCTGCACCATGCTGATTGGAGGTGTGCAAAGCATCATGCTCGACAGATACCAAATGTTTTTTCATTCCACTTTTGTTTCCTTCGTAGCATTAATGCACGCCGTGGTATTTGGAAACGTGACCGCCATCATCCAGAGGATGTATTCACGCCGTTCCCTTTACCACACCCGCACCAAGGATCTGAAGGACTTCATCAGAGTGCACCGGCTGCCCAAAGCCCTTGAACAGCGTATGATGGAGTGTTTCCAAACAACTTGGTCTGTCAACAATGGTATCGACGTCAGCGAGGTAGAACTATTAAACACATTTAAATCACGCGTCTCACAGTAAGAGTCAAGAAGGTTCCAAAGACGCTTCGTATTCTGCACTTTAGCTTTCATCCTTGTTTCTGTATTGTAGAGTAGTGTTTTACAAGCCAAGGTACATATTTAATGATGAGCCCGAATCTCTGATGACCCACAGGGGAGGGCATATCAAACAAGCTGACCACTTGATGTATCGGGGAAGCATAGTCAGCAAGGATGGCAGAGCAAATTAGCACAGCATGGGTTGTATAAACAAGGCCAGACCTGCCTCCAA